CAATGAGGTATAGAACATCATACCAAGGTATTCTGCACATGCAAGAAGCTGCCTTTCTACTCGACTAGGAGCAGATGTTTTCAATAAGACAGTCCTCCAGACTACTGTATTCATACACTTTACCTCAAAGACAAAACCAGTATTTCTATCTTCAAATGGGAACTGGATTGTGACACCAGTACAGGGGTCTTATGCAATTTCAGCAGCCCTATAGTTGTGGACAGCTTTACTTACGGGAGAAGTGCTATCCTTGGTCTCCCTCATAGTGTGCTGTGCCTACCACTATAAAGACATTTACAGCCAAATGTGTGCTCTTCAACAGCCTCCAGAGTGCTATAGAATTAAGAGTGGCACAATATAACATGCTTGGTAACTCTGGGTTTGGGTGGCAGACTATTAACTCAGAACCACTTGACTTCAACACAGAGAATTAGGACACATTTAGCTCAGGACACTTCCCTTTACGACCTAGCAAATGACAGGTCACATGAACATACAGAACTAGTGCAGAATGTAAACTGTGCATTTATTCTTGTGTGCTCCTAGAGACATTTCCTATATCTGCAGAGCACTTAACCAGAATAAAAAAAACTACTGTTCTCATACACAGCCAGCTCAGCTCAGAGCTCGTGCCTTTCCTGGGAAATCAGGGTGCTTCTACACACTAATGCATGCAGTACAGGGAACGAGCTGGAGACGCTGGTGGTCTGTGTGTAGCTGCAGGGGTTAGAACCTCATTGGGACCACAGAGATGAGCTGGGATAGCTCTCATGGCTACAGTGCTGCTGTGTGGATGGCTACAGGCTCTTTAGGACAGACTGGCAAGGCAGGAGAGCTTCTTTCCCATGAGAAAAGCTGGAGTGCACAAAGCTCTGCCAGCTTATGGGTCAGGAGCAGCAGTCAGCAGGAGGACTGGACTAGGCAGTCTCCACAAGTGTCTTCCAGCCTAAGCAACTTTAAGTCAAGCCTGTGCCCAGCAATGCAGTTGCTACAAATCTTATCTGTGAGAAGGCCCATTTTTCAACTTGCACAAGTAGTACAGCAGAGCTAGAAAACTTAAGGCAAATCCATCGTGACTAACACTTTTATTAGAAACTTTATCTAATACTATAAAGATGCACAGTATCACCACCAACTGGTATGCCTAATAATTTTCTAATTAGTCTTCTTCCATTAAAACTTCAGAACAGATTCAACCAATAAAGCCTACTTTGAATTTGGTTTGCCCTATAAGACAAACTTAAAAGTAAATTTCCAACACCTGCAGAATTGCTTAAAAAATTGATTCTTAAACTGTGTTTTAAGACATGATAAAGTGCAAAGAAAGATTGGAATGCGTACTTGGAACTGGGGCTGTTTTGAGACACCATTTCTTTAAATTTCTTGGCTATTCTGTTTTATGACATGGTAGATAAAAGCAGAAAGCTGCCATAAAAGTCAGTTAGTGAGACTTCTTGGTGAGTACACCAATGAGAATTCCTTACCTACCCAAAATGAGATCTCAAGTAAGCCAAGAACACTAAATAGCAGAAGAGTACCATCATGGAGAGCAGTTTAGTGGAAAGGCTATATCACAGATCACTACATATTTTACAATTAATTCATTTTAATCAGGGAGCAGCTTCCTCAATTAGTAAAAGCACCTCTTTTCTGGAAAGCGGAAGCAACTGACATGCAACTTGATCTAAAACTACTTCACTTGTTAAATGTCTGCTTTAGCCTGGTACCCAAGACAGCATCCCCTGGAGCAGGGTAGCACCAACCTTATAAAACACCTACTTTAAAAAAAAAAAAGCCACTTTGGTGTGTGTTCTGCAACATGAATTCCAGCATTCAGGTAGTTCCTACAAATAATCTTTTAAAGTGCTTTATCATGTTCAGTATAAAACTGTAATACAGTACTCTATAACAATCTTGTCCATAAAGTGGGATTCTTTCCTCTGTTAAACCTGTGATTCAAACCACCAGCTTGGAAAAAAGGAAAAAAAAAGTCATCAATATTAAATCCAAGCTGGAAACATTCTTTAATATGTCCATCTAGCATGCCCAAAATAGGGGCTAAGTCTAGGTCTCCAGTACTCTTCTGAAAAATAATCTTTCACTACAGGTAAAAATATATACAGAAAGAGCTAGAAACCAGAGAAATCACAGCATCTGCTTAACTCAGCATGTTCCCAGCTTTCCAGTTCTATGCTTTGCCTTCAGATTAGTTTTGACACATTCCAAATTTAAGAAGAACATATTAAAAACTCCAGTTTCACTGCATTATTAGTGGCCTAAAACATTTCACACTAATCACTTCAACTGACAGCAACACTAATTCACAAAGTAACGGCTGACAGGATTAAGACTTTAACAAATGCTTATAATCCCAGAACTGATTTTTTCAGTCTTCAACTTGTGATCCAGCAGAGATTCCTAGTCAGGACTGCATTTTCATTAAGTCTCATATTCGTGTAATCAACCATTATTCCTTTGTCAACAGCTTCAGCAAGGAGGGCAATGCGCTCAAGGTTCCACAGAAAACAGCTGAAGCTCTAAGCAAGCACTTTGTTACCATAAAGAATCAAGCAGCTACTTACACATCAGCCTAAATAGCATTCTCACATTACAAGACTCCATGACTTTCATTTTGACAAGTCTTGAAAAACACATTTGCACATCTCAAGCACAAGAGACAAAACAGATCCTCTAATATTACTATTAAATAAATATTTGGGAGAACATGAAGAGATAAAGCATGAGTTATACAGACTTATCTTGCTTAAATGACAAGACAACTTGATATTTCTGGGGCAAGCATGGAGAAGGTTGGTTAGTTCTGTTTAATGAGCCAAAAGAGCTACCAACAAAATGATTGCTCCATAGCAGCTTTTAGCAAGGATTTTTAAAATACATGTTCTGAACCTCTTATCAAGAAGCAAGCATCAACTGTATCATACCAAAAAAAAAGCCACAAAATTGACTATTACCACTAGGAGAGTAAAACAACCAAGACAGTCTGCTGATCCTGCTGCTCCAAGCAATAGCAGGCAACAAGCAATGGAATCTTATCACCACTGCTTGACAGTGATGCAGAACAGTTAGCAGAGACATGGGGGCTTGAAGGTGGATAAAGAGAGAAAACCTAAAATCTGCAGGTTTTTATCAGTAGGATAATATTTCCAACTCAAGACAGAATGAGTTTGAGAATATAAGTTGCTACATAACCTGGTTGATAATTAGGATCAGCACATCTCCTAAGTGAGCCATGCAAAGTTTCTTGAAGTCAGGCACCCAGGGAGTGAAAAGCATCAAACACTACATTTCTCTGCTTCTGTGGGCTCCCCAGCCACTGCCTTTCACTCAAACCCCTGGACACCACTACTGCCATCCCAAGTTGCTTGGTACAGCAACAGGCACCACAAGACACCTCCTGACCTCAGGGAATGTTTGTCCTGATACCACCGTGTACTTGCCCTCCCATGGGTGCTTAGTGCCTGCACAGCTGTCATGAGAAACAGGCTCCCTCAGTGCCCCTGCTAAGAGAGGCTGTTAATTCACATGAATCCGTTGTGTAATAGAAAGCAATTCATTTAATCAGTCACGTGGAGCTTGAATCTAGTTAGTAGGAAATGACTGAGTTACTGTGCAATTATCCACTGCGTGGAAAGTGAACAGGTTTACAGGACAAGAACAAACTAAGAACCAGATTCCCAAATTATGATGCTAGAGCTTGTTCTGCTGTTTCATGTGGCCATTTCTGCTCCATTCACAGCACAATTTTGTTCCATGTGAAGCTTGCACCCCAACACTTCCCAGAGAAGCAAGTAATTTTATCCAGCATTTAGTCAAATAACAGTAGGTGCAAAATCAATTAAGCAGCTGAAAAAAATTTGAGTCTAAATGAGGCATTAGATCACAGAAACTATGAACTATCTAGGATTCCAGTGTACACATCCAAGTGGTCCAGGCAGTGTCCCATCATTACTGACTTGATTTGAAGAAAATGCTTCAACTGCTCTTCTACCCAGATTTCCAGTACCACTGCACTGACAATTAGAGACAAGTTTGAGAGTTTTAAAGGACGGCCAAGAAAGGATATTGTCTGATCAAATTAAGCTTTCAGTTAAAAGCTTTTGTAAAGCATTCCACCTAAATCTTTAGACTAGAAATTCCTCTGCAGTATGTACATAACACTAGCAAAAATAGGTCAGTTTCACTTTCTTTCAGGCATGCAAAACAGAAACAAGTTGGCTTACTCCAAAAGAAGTGAAAATAAACAATTTACTCCTAAAAGTCTAACACAGGAAACTTGTTTACAGGACTAGTCTGAAGGCTATTTTATTCTTAAATGAAGCATTTATTAATAGAGGAAATAAATGCAAAATATTTCACCATGGTATCATCTGATCATAAGCAAAAATCCAAGTAGTTAAAACTATTCTAGCAAGTCTGCTATGCATGAATAAGTGCAAAGATGCTATTGTCAAGGGAAATCGAACTGTTTCTATTAAATTCTCTATAATAAAATTATTTTCAGCCTTCAAGCAAATCCAAGAACCACAAGTCTGGTTCTGATTTGCCAGTTCCTACTCTCACTTTAACAACTTTAATTGCGGGGTGGGAGGGGTAGGGTCGGGGCAGGGAGCATTTAAGACATTAAGAAAAAAAGATATCTTTTCTTGAAAATCATGTACCTCTGAGGATGAGGACAGGCACCTCCCTGTCCCTCAGAAAAGACATAAGGATCTTGGAACCAGAGAAGTACTGTTAGAACAGCTTAAAAAAAGCAAAACCCAAAAGTAATCAGACTGCACACTTGAGCTTTGAAAATGGCAAGGCCGCTCCCTGTGCAGGTGCAGTCTCCTTGGTCCCTTCCACCATGAAAATACCCAGGCATAGTCAAGGCTAAGTCTCCTGCTCTCAGAACAGAATCGATTCAACAGGGCTCCAGCAGAATGACCGAGTCAGGCCCCCACCAGCTGTTCAGGAAACATGACTGGGCTGCTTTGCCTCACCTCACTCCCTGCCCTTCTCCAGGTAAGGTCACACTCAGGCACCACCCTTCTCTTCCTACAAGATCTGCACCGGTAAGGCTGCAGGGAGGATAAAGACGGGCAGAGAGAGAACACAGCCAGATAAAACAACACTCCCCAGGAACTTCTGGCTCAGCTGAGACCACCAGCATCCCAAACCCTCCGTTTATCTCCCGCAGACGAAACGTTATCACTTATCCGACGGCACCAAGAGCAGGCAGGGCAGCCTGCACTAACGCTCAAGGCCAGCTCCTCCTCGCCCTTTCCCTCCCCCACGTCCCACTTGTAGACAGGAGCACGGGGATCCCCGGCTCCACCTCAGCCCAGCTCCACCGGGAGCCGCAGGAGCGGCCGAACCCACGAGCGGGGCCTCTCGCCTCGCACTGCGGCTCCCGCGCAGGCCCCACGGCCAGCGGCTGGCCCCGCTCTCCCCTCGCCCACGCCCGGTGCTCTCCCACGGCCCAGGAACCCCCGGGTAGAAGCCGCGGGGCTCTCCTCGCCCGACAAACCCCGGAGAGAAGGGCTGCCCCGCACCGCCGGCGACACCTTCCCTCCCTCCCTCCCTTTCCGCAGAGCGGACACGGGCGGGCTCAGCCACATCCCCAGGCTGCAGCCAGGACCCGGCGACTCCCGCCTGCCTTCACCGAGAGCGCGGGGCCGGCACGGCTGAGGCCCCCACCATCGGGCTGGGGCGGGGGGATCCCGAGGTCGCTGCTCGCTCTCACCTGGGGGCTAAGGCCCAGTTCCGCACGGCGGCTCCAGCCCGGCTCCTGTCTGGGCTGTGTCCCCCGGCCCCGCTGCTCCCGCTGCCGCCGCGCCCCGACTCTCATTGAGGGGGCAGCGCCGCCGCCCGCGCGCCCCCGCCGCGCACTTCCGCCCTCGCCGGCGCCGCTCCCGCCTGGCCCGGCTCCCCGCGAGCGCGCGCCCGCCGGTCACGTGGAGCTCACGAACCAATCAGCTTTGGGGCGGGGCCGGCGGGGGCCGTGAGGGGCGCTCCCCGCCGTGTGAGGGGTCGGTTGTGGCGATGCAGCGGCCGCGAGGCGCTGCTGCCCCACGGCTGCCTCAGCCTGTGTTCCCCCGAGCTCTGTGCAGAGCCCCGCCCGGCGGCTGAGCCTGTAAGCCTCGCAGGCTCGGTTTGATCCAAAACAATCACAATCATTTAGGCTGGAAAAGACCTTTGAGATCATCGAGTCCAATCTATGACTAAGCACCACTATGTCAATTAGACCATGGCACTGAGTACCACGTCCAGTCTTTCCCTAAACACCTCCAGAGACGGTGAGTTCACCACCTCCCTGGGCAGCCCATTCCAGTGTCTATTCACCCTTTCCGTAAAGCATTTCGTTCTGATGTGCCACCCAAACCTCACCTGGTGCACCTGGGGCTGTGTCCTCCTCATGCTGTCCCTGGTTGCCTGGGAGAAGAGCCCGACCCCCACACAGCTGCAGCCTCCTATCAGGGAGTTGTAGAAAGTGAGAAAATTCCCCTTGAGCCTCCTTTTCTCCAGGCTAAACACCCCCAGCTCCCTCAGCCACTCCTCACAGGACTTGTGCTCCAAACCCTTCACCAGCCTCGTTTCCCTTCTCTGGCTTCACTCCAGCACCTCAATGTCCTCCCTGAACGGGACGCAGGATTTGAGGTGTGGCCTCACCAGTGCTGAGTGCAGGGGTAAGAGAAGAAGTTAGGAAGGGCTCTGTCTTAAATACATCACATATTTTAGTGCAAATTCTACCAATAGATGCAAAAATTAAGTTTGAAGTCAGAATGCAAAGGAATGGAAGAGTCCCTGATTTGGCTCACATGGGTTGGGAGTGCTGAGAGCTTTATTAAATCATTGAGCTGCAATACTGTCATGTGTGTGCAGCACAGAGTAGTTTTCACTGCACAGGGGAAGAAAGCAATGGCTATTGCTGTGTTTACTGTGATTATTTCTTCAAATCTTTATCAGTTCTCAAATCCAAATTCTCTCTGGCCATTTCAATGTTACTAATCACACGGTCAGGTGTGTGATTCTATCTTGCCAGTTACAAAAGAAAACATACCTTTTCTCATTGCTTTAATTTGCTTAATTTTTCTAGGCTTCATGGTTGACCTATTTGAATTCCACTCACTAAATTTATGAGTGAATATGTTGGGTAAAATTTTTCCTTCTGGAAAAACATGCTTTGCATGATAACACCCACTTTGGAAAATGATGGAAATTGTGCTTACCACTGATCTCTGAAGGGTTCAGCTCCTCTGGGACAGAAGTAATATGTTAAATAACTGTGTTCACTCCTGCTTTCACACTGGGCTTCTGTGTGGCCTCCTGCAGAAGAGAAAGGGAAAGAATTAATTACTTTCTAGCTCTATCCACTGATGGCTGGGTGAAATTGCATTTTCAAGTTGGAGAACATAAAAAAGGCCTGTCACTTAAAATAAATGCAAAAAAAAATTCATCTTTAAAAAAGTGATAGGTGAAACAATGGCCTATTGCCAAAGCTAAATAACATGGAGGAGGAATTTGAAAGAGATTTACTAAAATCTGTAATTTCAGAGTTGGGAAAAAATGCCAGGAATTGGAAAAAAGACGTTGCAAAGGCAGTAAAAAAACTAGTTGTGTGGCTCTGAGAAACAGCTAAGTACTTCAGGACTGCATAAAAAGGAAGTATCTTCTGAATTTTTCCTCTTTTCAAGGAAACAACATTTTCTATGTTGTGTGTAAGTAAACAGGATTTACATCATTTTATATCATCATCAGTTTCTCTTCCTAACTCAAACTTCAAACCACCAGATTTTAGTTAACTCCTTGTGAGGAAAAGTGAAATTATGAAATTAAGTTATTATAAAAGGTCCTGATTAAAGCAATTCTTTCCCTCTGCCTTTTAGATTGTATCAGAACCGCACCAATATTCATCCTCCACTAGAAGCTGGCAGACTGAGAGCTATTTGCTATCATCCACACAATGAAAGAATAAACAGAGAAAAAAATATTGCCAAATGTGAAGGAATCCTGTTTTACAGCTAACACTTAAATTAGCCAATTGGTGGTATTTTTAGGATTAAACAGGAATGGTTTTTAATATCAATTCTGGACATTTGTATGTGGTCCTAAAAACAAATGAACAAAGAAGACCCAAGCAAAAATTAATTTATGCTGTAGCTTTGTCTCCATAGACATCTTTCATGCCATGTGGGCATTGTGGATTCATTGCTCTGATGTGACCATTCACAGAAGATAAATATTTTCAGCAAATTGTATCTATGATTAAAAACTGCCAAGAACCTGGGAAGCTGAGTCTTTTCAAACTGAATGCAATACAGCTCTCCTGCACATACCACAATGCTGACACTTCCACTTTCCCCTTGCAAAAAAGAGGGTTAAGAAATTAACCACATCTACCCTGCTTCTGAAAATTGTTTAGGGGAAACCTACTTCTTTGCAGTAATCCACTCATGACAAAGAACATTTGTGTGATGCTACATTTTGAATTATTATGCATGTTGCCTGGTATAATCTCCATGGTTACAGATATATTTTTTGCTTCAGCACTTTAGGAAGAAAAATTCTATAGAACAATGTAGGGGAGAAAATTCCTTTTCATTGTCATATAGATTGCATTTATTTTATTCTATTTGCTTTCACTTCCTAAACAACAGTAAAATTTCACTAGAGATGGAAAAATTTGTCTCCGGCTGTTGCTTTATCCTGCTGTAACATCTTTTAAAATTGCAAATTCCTGGAGAAGGGGACAGTATTTTTTATGCATATATTTAGTTTCTAATCCACTAAGAATGTAAGAGGGCACTGTGTGTCACTGCCAGAGTCATAAACAACAGTAAGTGTGGTGGGATGACTGAACAGTAAATATTTTTTCTTTGCAAAGATTAGGACTCATGCTTCCCTTTTGAACAGTTCTAAATAGAAATTAGCTGAAGTTAGTTCCAGAAACTGGTGATGGGAAAAATGTAAATCCCAGATATTTAGCTTTTTTCCTACACCATTTGCACACCTGGTTATTCTTTGATAGTATTTGTCAGGGAAACAGAAGAATGCTTGGGGAACAGAAACACCACCCCCCACTGTATTATCTGGAATGCTGTATCTCCCATTTGTTCCCAAAACACACAGTTTTTTGGTACGTGCAGACTTGAGCTGCCAGGGTTAGTCCAGGCTCAGATAACTTGTAAGAAGAGGTACATGTACATAGTGTGCCCTCAAAGAGAGTTTGTTCTATATTAAAAATAATGTAGTCAAAGATGATTTCCTATTTGGGCATGGATAGCCTAACAAGAAGTACATTTTACAGATTATTTGTATACTTAAGAGAATGCAGCTGACCTCACCATGATTTATGAACTTCAGCATTCAAAAACCACAAAGCAATAAACTAAAATATATCTGAAACAAGCAATGAAATATGACTCTGGTTTTGTTCTTGTATGAGATTATGGTGTTTTGACTGTACCATTCACTTTATTTTTGTTACAAACAGCCGGAAGTCACCACACTAAAATAAAGTTCACTGTCAAATAACCTTTCCATTTCAGATACAGCTGGGATTTGTCAGGATCATATCACAAGGTCATTTTTAAGGAGATTCTCACTGACATTTTGTGAGGTAAGGGATTTCACATTCCAGTTTTACAAGTGTTACACTTCTGATCGTCATGATTATCAACACCATGACAGATTTAGGGCCTGATCTTGGAACTTTTACAGAAGGAGCTAAGTTTATTGTAAATAACTTGATAGCCAAGAATCAAAAGAAAATAAAGGGTCTACAAAGAGTTAGAAGAGGTCATTCCATGGCCCAAAGCCAAGATCAGTTACACATATATAATTTTTGGCATGCCACTTTTTAAAATGCAGCTAAGATTGTGGTATTATCTTAGCAGTTTGTTTAAAGTACTGGACTACTTTATCATAAGAAAAAACCCAACATCATTTACCTTACCTGTCACGTTCTGCAGATTAAGCATATTAATTAGTTCCATACTGGACATAGCCATGAGATTATTGTTTTCCCCTTTTTTTGCACATGTATGATATGTGCAAAAAATCATTACTTTTTTCACTCTTTCTAGTTCTTTTCCTCTTTCAAATAACACCTGATTTTGCAGTTGTTTTTTGTAGGTCATGTTTCCTAACTGCCAGTCACTCTCCTTCCCCTTTGGACTCCCTCCAGCTGGCCAGTGTTTCCTGAAGTGTACTGCTGAAGCAGATACATTAAATGAAGCTTTGCCTGTTAAATGTAGAGTAGAAAGTGTGCCTTAGTGTCTTACAGAACACACTGAAGCCAGTTTGGTAAAAACACAAAGTATTACAAAAATGGATAAGGCGGGATATTTTTTTTAGAATAATAAGCAGCTAACACAGTTGAGGATTTACCTCCCTGAGTTGAACAGTACTACCTTGTTGAACAGCCATTGTTGGAAGGTAGTTTGAGCATACTTGAAAAAAATTTGTGGTAACAGATCTTGTCCCCCTTACTTTTAAATCAAATTTTTCAGATTAAAATATTGACAAATATATTACATTAATAATGAAAATTACTGGCTTTTATAACAGCCAGCATTCTAGCAGTGTGGGAGCAATACTTCAGAAAGAAAAAGAATTTTCAACTAAAATTATATTATTTTTAAGAATTTACTTCTGTCTATAATCTCTAATTAAGTTAGCGTAACTTAGAATGAGGTTAAAATGTCTTTCTGAAAATTAAACCAGATAATTAAACCAAACTGTTTAATGTAAAAATATTCTGACCACGAGAGCCCTTAATTTTTAGTCTACTATCTTCATTACTATGAGTGCAGTTTTCCCTATTCCATGTTTAATCACAACATCTTTTGCAAATATTTGGAAGCTTTGATACCCCTTCACCATTTAAGTGGCAATATAATTTTTTTTTTCTAAAGCAATCTCACA